CCTTTCGTTGAATATCACGAGAAAATATTTCCAGAATCTTCTGTCCCTTGTCAAAACTCTCTTGAACCTCACAAATAATGATTTTCCCCAGTAGTTTCACAATGCTCCATTGAACAAAAACTACATTGCAACATTTCCCAAGTGCAGAGGAGTCTTAGTTCCTCAGGGAAAGAAACAAGTTCTAAAGAGATTGCTGGCTCCTGTCACTAGGGCAAGCTTTAAGCTAGTTGCCTCCAGGCTAAATGAAGCCAAAGTTGAAATCGCTTGGAATGAGTTTGAGTTTTTTTAAGTTAGTTGTCAGCATCTGAAAATGATGAGATCTGACGTAAAAATATAGAGATAGGGTTCTTTAAAGCTCTTTAAAGCAGTGCACGGGGGTTGCTGTGTTAAAACACACCAACAGCCAAGGGAGCCCAGAGGCGGCTGTTTTCTTAGAGGTCCTGGGCTCCCCGAGGGTCACCACCCTCTGTGGCTTGCTCTACTCACCAGCATCACCTGCCTGAGTGCATGTAGGAACTTGAGGGCTTTCGATGCACTGTAATAGATCCTTGGACAATCTCAATCATATCTAATATGAATGATATTTTACATCTTTAAAAGAGAACAGGAAGCGGGAAGAGCATTGCTGGCAGTCCCTCGGCCTCCTGCCATGCCGTAGGCGTTAGCTGTGTGACTCTCCTCTCCCTGGAAATACCGTTGGGTGGGAGCACACCCAGGAGAGGTGGGCGTGGCCGCCCCTAAGCACGGCCTCCGAGCTGGATTCTGAGCTCAAGTGACGGGACGGGTTCCAGTGTGTGTGCTCACCAGAGACGGACGTGGGCCTGGTCACACCACCGTCTCCTCCATTTCTCCACCCCGTCGGGATCGGGGGTACACATGTACATGGCGTGTTTCTCAAGCCATGGGGAGATTGCCCTGTTGAGATCTGGAGCACACGTGCACGTGTACATGGCGTGTTTTTCAAGCCGTGGGGAAATTTCCTCGTCGGGATTTGAGGCACACATGTACATGTACATGGCGTGTTTTTCAAGCCGTGGGGAAACTGCCCCGTGGGGATTTGAGGCACACATGTACATGTACATGGCGTGTTTTTCAAGCCGTAGGGAGATTGTCCCGTCGGGACCTGAGGCACACGTGCACATGTTTGTGGCGTGTTTTTCAAGCCGTGGGGCCAAGATTTGGACAGCCAGCCCCCTGGCTCTGACTCCACTGAGCACGAGCAACGACCCCGACTGAAGCCTGGCGTGACCTGTGAGGGTTTATCCCGCTGCGTTGAAGGGGTTCAGAAGACGCTGGGCCCAACTCCGGCCTCTGGGCGCCCAGCGTTCCCACACTGAGTCCCCCTCAGTGCGGTCACCTCACCTCAGGTGACGCCTGGAAGGGCCAATGGAGAGGAAGGGTGGGCCTGCCTGGGGACCCCCTCCCCCAGCCCAGGCCACTGCTCCTGGCACTTGGTGACTTTCGCTCTTCCCTGCCCTCAGCTGTCAAGACCCCTTAGGCTGACAGAGTTAACGCCAGCGTTCAGTGTGGCTTTCATCTCCTCCTGGATGATTATTTAGATAGGAGCTCCGCGTCCTGGGGGCGGCCTGTCTAATGCACATAACCGAGGTGGCTAGCAGGACCGAGAGCTGGCTCGGTGCTCCTCCGGTGTCACCTACTCGGTCCTCACGCAAACCTCGTGGGCTGTGCACCAGGGCAGCCTCTTTCTCCGATGAAGAAAGTGATGTTTCGAGAAGCCAAACAAGGTGTTCACCATAGAGCTGGAAAGTGGCTTGTTCTCCAAGTCCTGCTGTCCATCACTGTTCTGTAAGGGCAGCAGCCTTCCTAACGCAGTGTGTCCGCTTCTAACAGGAGAACGCAGGAAAACCGTAGAAACGGGTTTGCCCTGCTCACAGGCTGCCTTAACACACCAGGTAGGAAGGGAAGAGTCAGTGGAGGCCAGATGCAAACCAGTCACCAAGAAAAACCTCTCTCAGGTCATTATTAGAGCATGAGGAAACCACTTAACACAAGCCTCCAGAGAGAAGTAATGAAATTACAGAAGGCAACACTGATAGGAACAGAGAAAGGAGTCGGGCTCGAACAAGAGACAAAAAGCTTAGCATGTTTCATTCTGGAAAGATGGATGCTGAGTGGGCATGGGTATGTCAGGGGTGTACAGACGTCTAGGAACTAATTAAATAGAAATATAGCTTTGGGAACCAGTAGATGGCGTAGCAGTTACGCCACTGGATTCTCACATGGTCAAACATGGTTCAAGTCCCAGATTCGGTGGCTTGAAAATCACACCAGGCATGTATGTGTGTCTGCCCAAGATCCTGGAGAAGGGATTGCAGCGTGGCCACTTCTCTGAGGGATGATTTCTCATTTTTCTCTCTCACTGTCTCTGTCTCTCTCTCCAGAGAACTCACATGTCCCAAGGCAAAACCTCTAAAAAAAAATACAATTTTGCCCAGGAAATAACAAACATAAGGGACTCATTCCAAGAATTGGTGTTTTGGAGGATGATGTATAGAATATCTGTGTTTTTAGGCTTTGATTTTTTTTTTTTCACCATGGGGCATATGCACTTGCTGGAGGGGGGGGGAGTGAGAAGTCACTCCTCAGGGAGGATGGGCAGGGTGCAATCCCTTGTCCACCATGGGGCACATGCACTTGCTGGAGAGAGGGGGGGGAGTGAGAAGTCACTCCCCAGGGAGGATGGGCAGGGTGCAATCCCTTGTCCATCCTCCTCTTGGGATCGTGGGCATGCACGCATATGCACCCAGTGTGAAGCCACTGGGTTCAGGACTCAAACCACAGTTGACCATGTGGGAGTCCAGTGACATAACCACTACACCATCTGCTGGTCCCAT